CTCGGTCTAAAAATGGAGATCACGTAACGCATTAGCAATACACACCCGGCAGTCGCATTCTCATCGTAACGGTATTTCTTATGCATTCGTGCAGTGCGAGGATTCAGCTGATATTCAACGTTTATGGACTGCCTTTGTCGCCGCCGACGAATCCACGTGGCTTTCTCGACGAAATGCGTAATTTGTTATTTTCGATTTCTCGAGGCACGTATTCATAGTTTGCTATTCATTTACATTAAAACTCGGATAATTCTCGTTCGTGACATTATGTAACTCAGTTGAATGCACGTTCCGACAAATGAGAATTCAATTGAGTTTTTGCCTATAATCTGCACAAACCCGAGACCGTGTACTTTACACTGAATCTTGTTAACTCACATCAAAAATAAGATTATGCATCTGTGTTGTTATGCGATAACTTTACCATCAAAGTAAGTAAAGTACATAGAAAAAGGCTATTCTTAAACCAATCATAATATCACGCTCATATATACATATATAAGCAAAAAAATTGTAATTTTTGCTTCAAAGATTTTTGATTTGATTTGAATCCTGTGTTGATATAAATATTACTTCACACTCAATTCAAGGCTTGCTCACAATGAAAAATTACAAATCCAATCAAATAAAGACTAAAATGTTTGAAGCAAGATTATAATATTTTGCTTGTATATGAACATATAGTTGATTTTAAGTCTTCTTTTTCTGTGTTATTATCTGAATATAAAATACTTGTATAACTTTAAACTTCAGTATCACATGTGTGAAAATGGAAAGCGATTAATATAGAATTTTTTTTAACAAACGAACGATTAGCGTTTCGATAAAATTTCCAAGCGATTTCCTTTCATTCGATTCGATCGTGTTAAATTACGCGCTAAAGGCGAGCGATGAATCGAGACGAGCGCGAACGGCGCGCGTGATTCATGTCGCGCGAAGAGAGAAGGAACAAGAGAGAGAGAGAGAGAGAGAGAGAGAGAAGGGGGGGGAGGCAGGCTTGTCAATATCATCGGTCTTTGGAGAACGACTCCTCAGCTTCCGAGCGATATGCGGTCACGGATCGTGGTGTCTCACCGATTACAACATCGATGATCTCATGCCGTCGTCGTCGCGACGCGCGGTGGAGTATCTTCTCACCACTGCGCCGGCACACACCCACGTGCACGAGCGCGCGCGCGCGCGCATCACGTGACGCTGAGTTACCATCCAAATGAATCGAGATTTCGTTCTCTGTGACCGACGTTTTTATTATTGTTCCTTACGTCGTGCTTCTTGCGACATAAATGTGGCCGCGCGCTATGTTGACATTGAACGAAGACACTGATGGAAGCTCTCTCCCCCCTTCCCCTCCCCCTCTTCCTTTACATCTCTCTCTCTCTCTCTCTCTCTCTCTCTCTCGCTTCTTCTCTTTCTCTCTCGCATCCGACACTCGCGTGTAAACTATACACGCCACACGAATTTCGGGTAGTGTACGAGAAGCTGAGAAGTGAGGAATCGACGTAAGAAAGACGAGAGAGAGAGAGAGAGAGAAGAGCCAAGAACGACGGTCAGCTGATGTCACGCAGATGGGCTGGTGAGCCGCGCCGTGCTAAAAGCGGCTATGATGCCCTCCTTTATTTCCTCTCTCATCCTCCCTCTACCCTGGCCGTTCTCCTCTTCCCCGCTCATCTGTGTTTCTATCTACGTCCATCTATCCGCGAGATAGTGATCCACGTATATCTGCGTTTTCCTCTCGCGCCTCCGAGTCTCCTGTTTGAGAGAAAGAGAGAATCGGACAACGCGGACCTCGCGGGCATACCGCGAATCACCGACGCATTCTCCCACTTCCCCTTCGCGACTCTCGAAAAAATCGCGGCTGTTGCGAGATGACTCGTGTCGAGAGACTGGGCGCGTGTAAGATCTGACGTTTTCCATTTGGAATAAGTGTGACAATCAGCGGCGCGGCGTGTCCATAATCGATGCCTCTCGGCGTCGAATAATCGTGTCGATAAAGCATCGATTTGTTTTCGCTACTTTGCACGGTGTCGCAATAACATCGATTCAATCATCAGACATTTTTCCGGCAATAATTCTTTTCCCACAATGATAGCTGGTCAAGCGGATATCTTAATTTCAGACCGGAGCACAAATCTTTGCAGTCAACGTAAAGCATAAAAAAAATCAACTAATCAAGAGTCTTTTATTTTATGAAACGGAAGGAAATTGAAGGATTTTGATTGGTCCATTTTCTTATTATGTACTCGTATTACGCGTTATATTTGTACTGTGCTCTCGTCCTTGCGAATTTTGCGATTCGTAAAAGATTTCTCTTGAGATTTCTCAATCACGACGTACGTACTCCGAGTCCGCGATTTCGCGTTCCACCTGTCTTTCCTCGTTGAATAAAAACAGCGCGTCCATTGAGAGGCTAATAATCGGCTTCTCTTCAAGATAATCGAGTGTTTCATTAGAAGAAGCGAGCTTAATGTGTAGTCATTAACTGCTATAAACGATTCACTGCGCAACCACTGATCGATTCATTTATGACTTTAAGAACGCGTTTAATATAGGAAATATAATAGTAATTGCACTTGCTCATCGTTTATTCGCAAATTTGCTTATTTACATGAAATTTTCTCGTAATCGGACGAACGAAAATTATTTCACGCGATTTTACGTACGTTATCAAATATCGCTATTAAATTAATCAACTATTAAATTAATTTTAAATAATTTTAGACTATCTTCGGTAAAAATTATTTTGCGATTGAAATTGTGTGATATATTAATTTTATACGTTGAAAAACAAATTTTAGGAGCTCAAGACAGAATCACTCAAGACGAAAAAGATAAAATGAAAACATAGATACAAGTAGCTTGTCAGATCGAAGTAGCTTGTTAGGTCTGCATTTTTGATTGATTTATCTGAGCGAAACGATCTCGAGAAAGAGAGAGAGAGAGAGAGAGAGAGAGAGAGAGAGAGAGAGAGAGAGAGACAGGTGAAGGAGAGACGCGGGTTATTTCGTATTTATAAGGCCTTGTGGTCTGGAGATTTTTCTTCCTCCAAACCGGGACAAATTTCACGCGGTCGCCGTAAATGCGCGGTTCGGCTGGAATTACAGTTACATGAAATGCGTGATTTGCGGATAGTTTACGCGAAAAGCGACGGTTTGCGGTCATCGTGGGACACGGTGTCGTCGCGTGAGCGCGGATCATCGGCACGAGAAGACGACGAAGAGCCGAAGAGGTCAGGCATGCGAGAAAGTGGGGCAGACGCGGAACGTTGACCTTTACGGTTACGGCGGATATATGTACGTTGGAAGAGCACGACCGGGTTGCACGGCGGGGCCCCGTGATCCTTTGTCGCGATACACCGATGGTATACCGATCGAACACGGGATAAACAAAATCATCCTTACAACTTAGCTAGGGGCTATTTCTTGATTGCACGGGATTGAATCTCAAAGTACGATTTTTGTAAAATACGAGTTTCTCTCTTTTATACCAATCTCGAAACTCGGCGTTATAATTTTACTTTAGTTACAGTAAATTTAATTCAATTACACTTGAATAATTTTCGACGTACATCTGTGAATTTTTATTATCGTGAAAATGCTTGTGAAAATATTCCCCCCCCCCCCCCGTGAGATCGAATCTCAAAGCGCGATTTTTGTTTCCCTTTTACCCTAATCCTGAACCTGATGTTGTAATTTTACTTCAGTTACACACTGTATTAAATTTTACATTTAAATTATTTGAAGTGCGTCTGTAAATTTTTTTTATCTTGATGAAAAAATGTTTGCAAAAATATCAAATGCTAAATAATTAATTCCTAGCGTGAAATAACAGATATAAATTCGTTTAATTGCATATAAGATTAGAAGGTTTATCCGTATTTTTTACACACACAGCTGGCTATTGCAAGTAAACGGATAAACATTTATTTAAGATCATAAAACCACGTATATTTTGTAAAATTCAAATGAATAAATATTTTCGGAAAAAAGTAAAAAATATTTATATGAATTAAAAATGTATTTTTTTAATTTCCTCAAATATTAATAAAATTTAAAACTACTTCCTTGAAAAAAAAAGGTGAGAAGTATTTTCCACTCAAGTTGACTAAGGCAATTCTTCCAATGCCACATATATCAATTGTTATCAACTGTCCCATGTGGAACACCAAGAAGACAAATAAACAGAAAATTGAATAAGAAATTTAATTCTTTCTCGCCATTTAAGAGCGGCAGCCACGCCCCAACCGTTAGATTCGCAGCGCCGTTGTTAGCGCTGCGTTTAACGTACGTATAAGTCGCGTAAATGCGTGCATGCGTGACTACGAACGTAGGTATGCCGAGACACGCTTTATACGTTATCGCTATACAGTATCAGACGCTACATATAAAGAGACCAATCGCGTGACGTATTATCGAATGAAGGATGCACGCGGTTCCATTTCGCTCGCGCTTCGTTTCGTTTTCCTCGTTAATATAACGGTCACCCTAGATTCCTCGTAGATTGGCCCATTCAATGTAATCGGCGTGTCGCATCAAAACTCTGTGCGAGCTCCTTGAGAATTCTTCCATCGAAAGTATTGGTGAATTCAAATCGGTACTTTAAAGGAAGAGATATTTTACTACATTTGCAAGATTAGCATTTTTTTTTTTATTTTTTGGCATAAAAAATGGGGAACTTTTTTTTTATGTAAAACCGTAGAACAATGAAAAGTGTTGGAAAACTGTAATTATTTTTTTATATTAATAGATAGAATGTCGTGCCGACTTCACAGATACGTATCCCGTATTTTCGAATCCCTGTTCTTTATCTCCCGAATTCTTTTTGGAATTGTTGAAGTCTTAAGGAGGAACTGGGATTCTATCGATTGTATCAAAAGTCAGAGAATTCGGGGTATCAACTTTTCAAACGTAGAGTTTAAGACATCATTGGTTCCTCGATTCTTCGAATTTGAAGGAATTTGTTAATCGTCACGTACTCATCGTTGGATCGTTTTTATGTTACAGAAATCGCGAAGGTGCGGGCGAGCCTTTTTCAAATCAGTGGAGTGAAAAAGGAGCCGCTCGTCTTGCCGGAACCCGAGGGTGACATTACGACGCTCACGGAGAAGGTCTATGTACCCGTTAAGGAACACCCAGACGTAAGTATCGCGAGAGACTGACGCATATATATATATATATATATATATATATATATATATATAT